AGTGAAATTTTACAATTTTAACTTGAGGCGACGGTCTGGGATCATTTTGAGGAGAAGGAAGCCCGTAGGAAGGATCATTTTAAGGAGAAGGAAGCCCGTAGGAATGATCATTTTGGCGAATAGTAATTAAGCCCGGGGGAAGGATCTTTTTGAGGAGAGGAAGCCCACAGGAATGATCATTTTAAGGAGAAGGAAGCCCGTAGGAAGGATCATTTTGAGGAATAGTAATTAAGCCCGGGGGAAGGATCTTTTTGAGGAGAGGAAGCCCACAGGAATGATCATTTTAAGGAGAAGGAAGCCCGTAAAACGCTGTGAAAATTTATGACAGCTGAGCAATGACCCGCAGTTTAGACAATCCGGCAATTTGTCTGGTATCTCTGCTGCAGTTCATCCATCAAAGTCGAACAATTGACTAATTGAATTGAAGTGCAAAAGATCATATCGAAAAGCCATGACATGAGCTCAGTACACGGTACATTTTACGTTAGTACTCGGAAATTGAAAAATTCAGAAAATTAATTATCCTTGTGAAGCAGTGGTTCACGCAGTTCTTTTTTTCAAATTCAAATTTAAATTTTATAAATTCAAACTTCACTCCATGTGGTGCAATTTAACAGGATTAAATTTAGTGTTTTATAGTACGGTGAATTCAGAAACGTTCGACGCTAAACGAGCTCGTCAAGAGTCGTTAATTGGGAAAATAAAAGCATTCAACAACACAAATTTGAAAGATTCATCGTGACATATTACTCTGAAGTATCATGTTTACAATGAAAAGCCAATTTGTGGGTAAAAAGATTCCTGTCCTTGTCCTTCAAAAATTAAAATATTTTTTCTAACAGAGTTGATCCCAACAAATTAGTGTTGGAATAAAAATTAATATATTATCATAGAGGAGCTCAATAATTCCATATTATTAGTTGCACTATTCTCGCGCGTAATAATAATAATAATAAATGCATGCAATTCCTCCTCCTGTAAGTTCACCACAGATTCAAGTATTAGACAACGCAGTATTCGTTCGGGTGTGGAGTGCACTATCGTTCAATACTTTATTATCAATCAAATAATGGTAACCTTTTCTATCGTAGATGTTAATTGGTTTTCCATGATTTATCGGTACAATTTTACCAGGCATTTTTTTAATGTTGAAAGCTATCAAGCACTTTAATATTGATTTAATTTTTTTTTAGTTATAGAAGAAAATTTGTGCTGTGAACCAGGATGTTTCTGCGTACAAGGCGTGCATAAAAGCCAGAAAATTATTAATTAGTCAGAATAAGTAAATTTATCATTAACTGTAATTGATCAATTATCGCTCAAATTTTGCCGTCAGCACTTCCATGGTTTCCCTCGCTGCGCAAGATTTAGCTCCACCTTTAGCTGGATAAATTTATTCAGCATAACTGTCTTGAATTCCATCTTTCGAAATGTTCTACTTTTTTATTTACAGTGACGTGTACATAAATAATTGTCAAGTAAAAAATGCTATGCCGGTCACTAAGATTACTTTGCTTAACGCCACCACATCAGTTCAACAAAAAGTTTTTGTGGTGATTAACTGCGTCTTCTCAGAGCCATGGAAAAAAGCGGTGGCAATTGTCAGGGTGTTTGAAATTTCCCGAGTTCTATTTAAATCTGCATTCAACACTTATTTGCAGATTAGACCTTAAAAAATTACATTTTCAAGAAACCTTCATCATTCGGAGTTTTGTATATAATAATCCATAAGTACCTTTCCTTCAATTTCTGTAAATCATTAGGAAGCCACCACAAAATATTAGTATCATAAAATTAATGTTCACCTATTAGTTTCAAATGATTACGTGTCAGTATTGCATTCTCATTATATAGTGCTGGAAACAATTAAATAAGTGAACAAAATGCTTCGGCCTAGGGAATTTATTCTCTAAACAAGCGTGAATTTCTGTTAAGCATACACAAGTAAAGCTCGAGTATTTAATCCATGCAATCATCATGCGCTTTACAGGATTTGAAGTCCAAACGATTCAAGCTTGCATACGACACAAAAATTTGATGAAGCTATCGATTGATAATTGTAAAAATTCATAGAATAAAGCATGCGTTGATAATATTGATAGAGAAATAACCGTACCAGTTATTAGCTGCAATCCTTGTAATTTCGCGCTCAGGAGCGTGCCTCTTAAGGGTTCTGATTTTTATAATCCCAATGCCTCGGGTGCCGTCCATTACTCAGTTCTCCAGAGAACCGCTGGCTTAATTGAATAATGTAGAATTATTTCCAGGCCTCCCTAGACAGCAGTACATAATTAATTAAGAGATATTAAATTAGCCCATATTTTGGGGCACCAACTTTTTGGGTTCCGAGATCATCCTCCTGGGATGCGCTTCTCCTTTATTATATTTTTTATCCTGGCATGACTCGGGAACGAAGAAATATGATTGAATTCAGGTATGCAGTTCATGTATGAAATACATAGTAAACAAGAAGACTTGTTTCATGATGTAGCACGGACTTGAAAGAAGCTCAAAGAAAATGCACTGTACAATTTACAAAGAGAGAAGATGCGAGAATGCGAGGTTTTGTTTTATTTTCTTTGCATCATCAGAGATCCTTTAAGAAAACCTGACTAGCAGCAGCAACCGAGCAGATTTAATTAGAACAAACAGGCCAACAGAATTGCTAGGGAAAAATATAAAGATCTTGGACCAATTAGAGGCCGAGGTATTTTTATGATATCGTCTTCAGCCATAGAGGAAAATCACACGGAAGTTTTAAACAATTTTTTCGATGACACCAAACAAAATCCGTGACTTCAAAGAGCTCAGAAGGAAATTAAAGGGGATCTGGTGAAGGGAAAAACGAAATTTACGAAAAATTTAATATTGATTTTCTCAAAAGGAGAGCACTTGGCTGCTAAATTGCTTACAATAATTAATTTGAAAACAACAACCTAATGCAAACATATCTTCTGACGTTTTAAAATTAGTAGTTATAGATTAAAAAGTTTTATTTGTGCGTAATTATTTCAATTCTAATAAGAACTGTAATTATATAAGTGACAGTAATTTTAAAGTTTGTAAATAATTTTATCTATGGTGAATATTAAAATTAATGTTTCAATGAAAGTAGACTTAATGCAATTCACGACATAAAATAATAAAAAATTCAATTGGATTCTAACCTCTAATGCCAATTACAAGAGCTTAAGCACTTTCAAGAGCAGTGGTTCTTGAATTCTCATTGATGAATTACCGATAACCTGATATCCGTATGTTCACGTGTTTTACAACCCATTGTGTTCACAACCGATCAAATCCAAATACCAAGTGTTGCTTATTGTTATCTTTCAAAATAACGTCTATGGTGTGCATGAGAAACTAAAAATTCCACTTAATTTTTCTATAATTACTACTGATTAATACATTTTCAGAAAATCTCAAGGCTCTTGAATAAATTTTGAAAAAAACTCCACGAGATTTAATCTGATCAGCAAATTCTACTATTCGGCAAGAAAAATATGAGCAACTTTTCGCTGAATAAATTGAACTATCAATCTCGCAGGTCCTCTCGGGACCACAATATGTCAATTAACCTCACTTCGAGAACCACTGCTTCTGATGATGATAATGATACTCACATTATGAATATTATACTGTATTTATAATAGACAAATGCAACACATATAACACTCATGCTGCTTAGCAACTTCTACTGCGAAGCTGAACTGGCTTTATAACCAACTACTCTTACGCAGGCATAAAAAAAGAAGCTCCATAGTTAGTTTGTCGGAGAAAAAATTTATTGCGAAATGTGCATGAGTAATTACTTCTAGCCCTCCAGGGAATGCATTAATTTAATGCAAGCATGAAATTATTTATTGCAGAAAAAAGTAGTTAATCAATTCACTTGAATAACATTTGATTGACACGAATTTAAAAATGGAATGCATGCTTTACGGCCAAAAAAAAGATAGGCCCAAAAAATTAATCTTAAGGGAAGCAATACATCAATGAGAATACATAAAGACTAAAGAAATGTACAATAATTGAAACGAGCGGTCGTTTATTAAAGTGGTGTTTATTGCACGTGAACAATGAAATTGTAACGCAAGCATGTTATAGTAAAATTTCAGTGTTTAAATATAGCTGTGTTGTCATAATGCTTCATGGCCGGATGTGTTACATTATATTGTTTACGACATCAACTAACCTGCAACTTGCGATTATCAGATGTAAATAATGTTTATTGAGTTGTCTACCAGTGCCTGTACAATAACGGTACAGCATGCCGTTATAACTATAGGCATCTCGTGTAAAAAAATAACCTCTTCAATTTCTCTTTCGTTGAAAGCATCATCCGTTAAGAGAATACTTGGTCCACAGTCCAATTCAGTTAATTGTTATGACGAATTAAAATTTTTAACCCAATACGAATGTTGGTAAAAGCAAGCCATTAGCTCCTGTGGCGCGACTACATCTCGGCATAACTTGTAATCCAAAATCGACGTTTCTGATGCAATCGAGATTGACATTGGGCAGTATCGTTAAAAATATTAAATCAAAATTCATCAAAATTTAAGGAAGGAATATTATTTACTCTTAATACTACATGCAATTCACAATAAAATGAGTATAATAATAATTTTTTAACTGCAAATTCTATTGAATATGGTATACTGAATTTCTATTGCCAGTCGATCCCAAAATTTCAGGAGCATATAACAGGCGCAGCAGAAATTTAAAGCTCTTGAAATTCCTGATTACCAATTCAACTTAAAATTCCTGCATTCATTCTACGTATATTTCTTTTAGAAATAAGGTAGAGTGTTGAAAAGTCCTCCTTAATATAAGAGAGAGCTATTGCTTTTATATAAAGCTTTATATAATTATATATAGCCGTTTTAGCTATTGTTTTTTACATCGGATGAGCTTGAGGTGAACTGACGAACTACTTAGAACCAGGCAAAATTATTATGCTAATAAAATGATCAGTCGAAAATTCCACGTGTACTCACCTCGAAGTCAGCGCTGTCAGGGTTGCCATTTATGTCGGGAAGAGCAGGAGCAGTCAGGAAAGATCCGTCAGACTCCTCAATTCCGTTATCGTCATCATTCGGGGCTTCAGCTGCCTCAACCTCGTCTGCGGCAGCTTCAGCGTCATCTTCTGCATTTTCCTCGGAAACATCTTCATCAATTCCTGCAGCGACGTCTTCTACTGTATCTTCAGTATCCATCGGCATTTCGCTTCCATCTTCTTGACCAGCCTCCTCAGCAGCATCTTCACCCGTCTCTTCTGCCGCTTCGTCTGCAGCTTCCTCCGCTGCATCTTCTGCCGCTTCCTCTGCAGCTTCCTCCGCTGCATCTTCTGCCGCTTCCTCTGCAGCTTCCTCCGCTGCATCTTCTGCCGCTTCCTCTGCAGCACTTTCTCCAACCTCTTCCTCCTCAACGCCCGCAGCAACATCCTCAACAGTATCCTCAGAATCAATCACAGCATCACCATCGTCTGGAACTCCTTCTGCAGCGCCTTCCTCAGAATTCTCGGCCTCAGCACTCCGATCTTCTTCCGCAGCCTCTTCAGGGGCGTCTGTTTCTTCTTCAGCGCCTGCTGCTACATCTTCCACCGTCTCTTCATTATCGATCCCAACATCACCATCGTCCTCAGCAGCGTCTAAGGCTGCTTCAGCTGCTTCGACCGCCTCTTCAGCTGCTTCTGCAGCCTCTTCAGCATCTAATGCAGCCTCTTCAGCAGCCTCTTCTGCAGCAATAAGCGCATCTTGTGCAGATTCGTCGTTGTTTTCTTCGACTGCTTCAGCTGCTTCTCTTGCAGCCTCTTCTGCAGCTTCTGCAGCCTCTTCTGCAGCATTTGCAGCATCTTCTGCTTCTTTTAGGGCCTCTTCTGCGTCGGCTCTCAAATCGTCAGCATCATCAGCAGCGTCTCCAACTTCATCTACAACTGCTGCCTCGTCAACTGCAGCATCGTCAGCAACTTCAGCAATATCGTCAGAAACGCCTTCATTTGCATCCCCGGCTTCCTCTGCAGCTTCGTCAGTTGCATCTTCTGCGTCAACTGCTTCTTCTGCACCTTCGTCTGCTGCTCCTGCTTCCTCTCCCTCTGCTGCTTCTTCAGCAGCCTCATCTGCTGCTTCCTCTACTGTCTCTCCTTCAGCTGCCTCTTCTTCTGCTGCCTCTCCTTCAGCTGCCTCTTCTTCTGCTGCCTCTCCTTCTGCTGCCTCTTCTTCTGCTGCCTCTCCTTCTGCTGCCTCTCCTTCTACTGCTTCTTCAGCAGCCTCATCTGCTGCTTCCTCTGCTGCTTCCTCTGCTGCTTCCCCTGCTGCGTCATCTGCTGCTTCATCTGCTGCTCTGCTGCTTCTTCTGCTGCTTCTTCTGCTGCTTCTTCTGCCGCTTCTTCTGCTGCTTCTTCTGCTGCTTCTTCTGCTGCTTCTTCTGCTGCTTCTTCTGTTTCTCCTTCTGCTGCCTCTTCAGTTGCTTCTTCTGTGGCTTCTTCCGCTGCCTCCCCAGCATCGTCATTTGCTTCTGCTTCTTCAGCAACTTCTCCAGCCTCGTTGATCTCTACAGCAGAATCAGCAGAGTCGTTTATGACCTGTTCAGTTGTATAATCTGCATTATCAACTGCATCTGCTATTTCTTCAGGAGCATCTGCAGCATCTTCACCCGCATCCGCTACTTCTTCAGCCGCTTCTTCAGTAGCATCTTCTGCTGCTTCTTCAGCATTATCCTCAGCTTCTTCAGCGGTACCACTAGCCTCTTCATCAACTGCGTCCGCTGCTTCCTCGGCTGCGTTTTCTGCTGAATCATCAGCTTCTTCAGCTGCATCCCCAGCATCATTTACTGCATCCACTGCATCTTCGCCTGCATCCTCAGCTGCTTCTACAGCTTCTTCGGCAGCTTCATCGGCTGCTTCCCCTGCTTCGTCAACTGCCTCTGCGGAATCTTCAGCTGTATCTGCTGCTTCTTCACCGGCACCTTCAGCTTCATCTGCAGCGTCTTCTGCTGCTTCTCCTCCAGCATCTTCAGCTGCATCTGCTGCATCTGCTGCATCGTCCGCTGCATCTTCTCCGGCATCTTCACCTGCATCTGCTGCGTCTTCTGTTGCTTCTTCAGTAGTCTCTCCAATTTCTACAACCGAATCGTCAGCGTCATTTGCCACCTCTTCAGTTTTGTACTCTGCTCCTTCAGCAGCTTCTTCAGTTGCATCCTCATCAGGGTCCGCTGCCTCTCCGGTGGCATCTGTAGCCTCTTCCGCTGCTTCTCCGTCAACTTCAGCTTCACCACCGTTCGCTTCTTCCTCGGCATCTACAGCCTCTTCAGCCGCGTTTTCTGTCTCTTCCGCACCCTCTTCTGCTGCATCTGCTGCCTCTACATCCGCTTCTTCAGCGGCTTCTTCCGCTACCTCTTCTGCCGCTTCTTCAGTGGCTTCTTCTGCTGCTTCTTCGGCAGTCCCAGCTGCATCTTCAGCCGCTTGGAAGCCATCTTCAGCGTTCACCTCAATGTCCTCCAGATTCATGTCACCCAGAATTCCATCACCCGAGTCTTTGAGATCCTCCAGTTTCTCTGCTGCCGCGGCAATGGTGTCTCCGGTCGAATCTGCTGCTGCTGCCACCCCAGCACCAATAAGGCCAGCAGCTCCCAGTGCTCCTCCTGCTGCCAGGGCGCCCATGTTCTTCTTGCCAAATTTCTTTGCACGACTTAACCGAGTGCGGCTTTGGCTCTTCTCGAGCATGGCGGGGTCTGGCGTAGGTTGCGCATCGGCTGTTCTCCCACGACTCCGGGAACGTCTATCTGGCACCACACCTGCTTTAATGCCTCGCTGGCTCTGGAATAGAAGTAGGATCTTGTTGTAAAGGGTAAAAGTATGCTAATGTCAAACTGTCTATCAAGAAATTATGTAAAAATAAATAAATCAAATTCTACTGATTAAACTTAACATTTCTTCCAAGATTAAATTGTATTATCAAAATTAATTCCTTCTCGTAAAATATTCTCGAAGGTATAAAGCATACGGGAAGATTTTCTCTAAGAAAATTAAGTAATTTTTTTAAAAAGTATCGCAAATAATAATTATAAAGAACTCAGTCCTTTAATATGGAAGCTCTCTATATTTGATATTTGCTTTATATTAACAAAACACATCAAAGCAGTATTTCAGACATAACTATATTCATTAAATAACAGGAAAAACTTTGAAGTATGACGTATATCATTTTTTCTCTTGAGTAAGGAAGAAATTTCTTTGATAAAGTTGATCGAAAAAAAAATTACATTTTTCACCGAGGAGGAAATTTGAAATGCACTCCTCCACAAAGAAATTAATGGTGATCTGCTTGGCGCGATTCCTGAGCGATACTTAGTTTTAATCCAAAGTATATAGGAATAAATATCGTCATCGTATGCTCCGATGCTTGCAAAAAATAATTGTATTAATAAATGAAGAGATTACATACAATGTTGGAGAACGAATATTTTAGGAAATATCGTATTTTACTGCAAAGGTTTCGGTGTTTAGATAAAACTAATAAAATAATTTATTGAATAACGGCCGCTTACGATAGCCTACCAATTTGGTGTTTGACTTCATTTTTGTCATTCTGTTTGTCATGTAGCTCACTACCATGCATGGTCACAGAGATTTTTTGTGTTCGTTTTGTTGAATAATGACAAAAATGTCAATCAATATAAACCAGATTTCCTTACATATTTCAATTTTGATTTGTTTATGAATCGATCTTGTGTGTCTCAGCTGAGTAACTATACGAAGATGGGCAACTTTTTACGATACCTTTTGGCCGTATTTGCTGTCTTTGTTCTTCCCTTTCTTGTCACCTGATGAAGAAGCGAATATTAGTCGAATAATTGAGAATTTTGACAGTGATTATTTTGTGCAAATTTGTGGCTAAATGTTTCTAATTCTTTAACAGCTTTTTCAAGGAGGCATGGACTACAAAAAAATATGATTTTTTTCGGAAATCTGAATTGTTGAAAATGTATTGAGCCTGATATTGTTGGAGTTTTTGAGAATATACAAAGTTTCTCATTTTGTACAAAATTTGTACTTCTTTTAGATACTCCAAAGAGTGCTGTTCCCGCTATAAGAAATCATTGGTGTCAGCTGTCACATGTTAAGAAGCTAATTAAACATTTCTTACCATTTTCTAATGAGCAATTATTTATATTCTTATCGGACTATATATATAGGTATTATGTTGCAACTTGGCTAACTTTGTAAGTTTTAAAATGAATTATTTTGCTAAAATTTCAATTCTCTAATAAACAATTGTTTTGATTATGATCAGACGCGACGCTACATTTTTACTCGGGTAGACCCACTTTGTCTGATTTAAATCAAATTATTTATTTGCAACATTCACTCTATTTTCAATCGAATCATTTTCCAATTCTCACCATACGCCTCGACATTTTGACGCAGCTTAACTTATTTTTATCAAGAATCTAGTAGTAAGCAATCTAATAATTTCGACTCATTTTGGTCTTGACTCACTTTGTTCTTGACTCACTTTGTTCTTGACTCACTTTGTTCTTGACTCACTTTGTTCTTGACTCACTTTGTTCTTGACTCACTTTGCTCTTGACTCACTTTGTTCTTGACTCACCTTGTTCTTGACTCACTTTGTTCTTGACTCACCTTGTTCTTGACTCACTTTGTTCTTGACTCGTTTTGTTTTTGACTCACTTTACTCTTGACTCACTTTGTTTGCGACGACTGACGAGTTTCTCAAAGTAGTTCCTGGCGACGACGTGTATCTCAGGTTCAGTGCGCGCCGTGCTGTTCAGAACCTCCCTGGCGACGCCTTCGACGAGCTCCTCTAGTCCGTCCGGCAGACTCAGCCGTACGAACATCTGTTCTCCCACCGCCATGCTGCGAATACAAAGTTAAATATGTCTTTAATGTATATGTCTTAACATAACATATATGTTAAATATGTCATACAACGTCATATATGTCTTTAACAGATATGTATTAACATAACATATATGTCAAATATGTCGTACAACGTCATATATGTCTTTAACATATAAGTCTTAACATAACAAATATGTCAAATGTCATACAACGTCAAATATGTCTTTAACATATATGTCTTAACATTACATATATGTCAAATATGTCATACAACGTCAAATAGGTCTTTAACATATATGTCTTAACATAACATATACGTATGTCAAATATGTCATACAACGTCAAATATGTCTTTAACATATATGTTTTAACATAACATATATGTTAAATATGTCATACAACGTCAAATATGTCTTTAACATATATGTCTTAACACAACATATATGTCAAATATGTCATACAACGTCAAATATGTCTTTAACAGAGAATTTATGTCCGCTAAATATAGTAAATAACCATCGTGCTTCGGAAAAAATATTGATTGTTCTTAAGTAGAGAGAATAAAATATCAAACGTTTCTAATTTTAAGCTGAACATGCTCCTAAACATTGTGGGCTGGACATGTTTAGGATTGTTATACTGGAACATTTATGCTGGATATATAACATCAGATTCGTTTATTTAAATACTAAACTTATTGTAACTTTTCGTTGAATATGCTGAGCGCCGGCCACGGACCACTATGGTAAAGGAGTGTCCAAAGGAATGAAACAATTAACGTTTTTTTATATTTTACATGAGGAATAAAAGTCTTTGGTACGTCTTAATTTTGTCAAACTTTGTCGCTTAGCTGAGTGCATGTTTTGGACCCAGAAGTGGTATTATTCATTACGTGTTATTCCTCCCATTCGTCTCTCAGCTCACTCCAAACTCTCAGTCCGCATTTCAGTTCAAAAATTTTGTTCACGTGAATAGCGTCGAGCTTTACAAAACTTTCTTAGAAGCGGAGGGCGATTATTTTTAAAACATTTGAAAAGCTCGATGTTTTAACGACCATAAGTCATAAGTTGGTTTCAAAAGAGTACTGCCTCTTGAACTTAGGGAGCAGAGAATGAGAACAGACCGTTTTAAATCAGGATTTAGATTTGAACAAAATCATTCAATTTCATGAGCAGCTAGAATAAAAAATCTTATTTCCTATGATATTGTCAAGCTGCAGCATGAAAATTTACGAAATGATAATCTGAAAAAATTATTCGTGTTGCATCTAAACTAAGTTTTAAATTTTATGAATTATTCCGTTTGCAATTCAAGCTTAAATTAAACGATATTAAGCTTCCCGGCCAATAACTTCCACGGTAGAATAAAAATCTAATTAAAATTATAATAATATATTGATAATAGTAATGATATTATCTATAATCTGATCATGTTCCTACAGCAGTCTCTGATATAATTGATTAATTTTCGAAATTTCCTATCCCAATAACTGAGAAGCAAAACCCGCGTTACCAAGACTTGCAAACCCAAATTAATTCTATGAAGAATCTCTGCAATACAAGATTCATTCTTTTCTCCTACGCAAGCTATAAGTGCGGGAAGGCCATAAAGTATAAAAAATAAAACTTCACCCGCTAAAATCCTCACTTTTTGGAACTCTGTCTGATGCTGAATTTTTTCTGGACTTCTGTTTAAGAACATAAAAAATTCTTCCTTTATAACTCTAAGTCTTCAACGACGAAGCTCATTACTTCTGGTGGTTTTTACCAGACTATAAGCGTAGCTCTTGGGAATTTTACTCTTTATTCCCCGGACTCCGGAATGCTCTTCAAAATTCCCCAGTTTTTCCGGCTGGTAAGTGCGAGAGCCGCGGCCGGGCAGTGCGATGTAGCTGTCGAGGAATCGCAGCAATGCTCGCAACGGAGAGTTACGGTCGACATCAAAGCTTGATGATACTAGATGCAACCGTCAACATCAAAGCTTGATGATACTAAAAGCAACCGTCGACATCAAAGCTTGATGATACTAAAAGCAACCGTCGACATCAAAGCTTGATGATACTAGAACTAACCGTCGACATCAAAGCTTGACGATACTAAAATCAACCGTCGACATCAAAGCTTGATGATACTAGAAGCAACCGTCGACATTTAAACTTGATGATGCGATAACTCGATAATTGCGCAAGTCCTCTTTATTAACGAAAGTGGTTATTATCATTTTTCTGTACATTTGCCTCATTTTTCTTTGTATTCAAAGTTAATGTGAAGCGTATAAGAATAAGTGTGCACTGGGTTATCTGAAGTGAGTTTAGATAATTAGTTAGTTATAAGTATCGTGAAGTGTATACTTCCTGTAAATATTAATTACGTGAAACACTCATGAAATAGTTAACGGTAACCTCAAAACCCAGAACTGCCTATGAATTAAGACAACAACACGCGGGCACCAGTGAGTGAGTCACTGCTTTAACCAGCCCACAACTACCCTGTTTATGTTATTATCATATTCAATGAACTAATAATCCTTAATATAGAGATAACATGTGCTAACAATAGGAGCTTTTAAAGCACAGCTAGTCCTCTATTATTAATATTCAAGTAAGCCATTGACCGGGCGGTAAGGTAGAACAAAACTTTGTTAGTACAGAATACGTTTTATTCGTGTGTGAGCAACCATCATTGAAGTTGCTGTCAGTGAACCCGAGGCTTCATTCTGTTCTTCTACTCATATTTTCCTGGGCAATGAATTGCGACAGTCTGCTCCCAATGCCCTTTTACTCCTCTGCGCTGCATATGTAGAACATTTCGCACATTTATTCCTAGTGCTATTGCTACCTCAACAGTGAACTTCTCCATGCAAAGGTTAATGCTAAAGCAACCTTTGGACTGAGGTCTTCAGTGAGCCCATCACGGCTGTCGCACTCCATCATCTCTACAGGAGCCCTCCAAACAAGGTAGCTCTAGACGCTGCTTCGCCTTAGCGTCTAAAATGTCGCACTCAACTGTGACGCATCATCATCACACTACCGTCACACTACCATCACACTATCATCACACTACCATCACACTACCATCACACTACCATCACACTACCATCACACTATCATCGCACTACCATCACGCTACACTGACACTACCATCACACTACCATCACACTACCACCACACTACCATCACACTACCATGACAATACTAAGATAGATTTAGCTCGAACGTGAGATATTTGGAAGCAGGAATTCTTCAGGCTAAAACACATTTTAAATTAATTTTCCGAAACAAATCACGGGAGTTTAAACGATTGATACTTCTAAAAATTTAAATTCCTTTTTGAAAAAAGTTACTTCGATTTCAACGAGTGAGCGACCAAATGGTTCACAATTAACAATTACTATTCCGTTGCTGTTCCGATAAATAGAGTCTGAAAACTGAGTTGCAAGAATATCGATTCAATGAATCTTTAATTGAACGAAAGTGTTCGACGATGTCACTCCAACACTAATTGATTTACCAGCGCAGAAGTACATCATACGATCGTATGTCAGCCGCTGTCCGTGTGCACAGTTTCCCCGTCCAATTATTTTAATTATATCGTATGAGAAATTCACTCTACTGAAGACAGCACTTAAAGGGGTGGCTCAATTCATCGTTAAAAAGGACTCTTCAATGCATCTTGAAACCTTAAGAGAACTTCAATTTGTAGACATTAACGTGAAGAGAAATTCTGTTTGTACTTCGAGAACTAATTGAAAACTTTCTCAGGGGAGTTGTTTTCTTTAAATATATATATTTTTGGTGCATATTACACCAAGCAAGTCTAATTTACAAGAAATGTTTATGAAATTATTTTGCCATCGCTTAAAATTTTTTGGGTTGAATAATGAGTACGTTTATTAAGTAAATTGTTCTAAGTGATAACACACATGAATATTGAAACCAAAGATCTAATAGGATACATGCATGAACTATCAACGAATTCTTCAGGCACCTCTGCATACCTACATTAAAACAGAGTTAATTTGTTGTCATAAGTGTAAGTGTAAAAGTTTGTTCATTTATGTCATCTTCATCAAGCAAGCCTTGAATAAGATTATGCATTAATCGATCATGTACATCGATTAATTGACATACATGGAAAAATTACAAACAAGCTGCAATATAGTCAGTATCTATTTCATTACATTGTATTAATAATAAATAAACGATTAAAACAATATGCAAGCTCACTTGGTTTAACGTTTCAACAGACTTACTTCATAAATTGATTGGAACTAAGGCGAAATAAATAAAGGAAAGAAGAGATAAATCGAAAGAGGAATACAAAGCTAAAAATTTTGGGTAACGAGAAGAAATGATTATTTACCGAGTAATTGCAAAATTTTGTTGGTGTAGTATTATGAAGGTCGGGCTGGATAATTACTTCTTCTTACTCTTCAATATGCAATTACACATTAAGTGCATGGAATTTGCTGTCTTTTCTTGGCGTTTAAAATTATTATTTTCTGTTCAGCGTTACATAATACCAGTTAGACACCGGCTTTGGTATATTTATTAACTTCTATCATCAAATTTTAAGATTCCTTACGTTTCAATTACGTAAGGAATTGAAACTAAGGAAATTACGTAAGGATTCCTTACGTTTTTCCGGTAATTT